AGGGACCCCCTATTACCTTGTCTGAGAGCACTGGGAGGGAGCTGTGGATCAGGAAGGGACCCCCATCATCCCATATGTGCTGGAGTTTAGGGACCGGTTGGAGGAACTCACCCACCTGGTGCGGGAGAACCTCCAGGTGGCCCAGAGGCGCCAGCGCACATGGTATGATCGGGGCGCCAGGAGCTGTAGCTTTCAAGTCGGGCAGAAGGTTTTGATTCTGAAGCCCGTCCAACAAGATAGACTGTAGGCTGCCTGGCAGGGCCCATACCGAGTAGTGGAACATAAATGTAACACTACCTATGTGATCAGCCCATGTTCAGGTACCGAAGTTCGACACCTGTTGCATGTTAAAATGCTGAAACCATACCACGAGCGGACTGAGGATGTAGCCACCATATGTGCTCCAGCCTCAGAAGGTTTTGAGCAGAAGAGGGAGCTCAGCAGGGTCCATAGATGAAGTCCACTTAGGGGACCGGCTAAACGAAGAAGAATGCCGACAGGCCTAGAGGATGCTGTCGGCAAGGAAGGAGATGTTCTCCAACCTGCCCAGGTATACCCCACTAGCCACCCACCGGGTAGAGACCCCTAACAACAGCTCCTGTGGCAGACCCCCTACTTGTTACCGGAGGCTCTGCGGGGGAACATGTTGCAGGAGTTTCAAGAGATGCTCCGGTTAAGGATCATCAAACCAGTTGTGCTGGTCCTGAAACAAGACTGGACTACCAGGTTCTGTGTGGACTACAGGAAGCTTAATTAACAAGACGGTCCATGCCCCATATAGACGAGCTGCTAGATAGAATGGCTCGGGGCCGATACCTCAACACTATAGACCTGCAAGGAGTACTGGCAGATTCCCCTGGTGGCAGATGCTGTCCCCAAGGCGGCCTTCGTCACCCCATTTGGCTTGTACCATTTTAAGGTGATGTCATTTGGGTTGAACGCCCCAGCCACCTTCCAGAGGATGGTGGACCAGCTACTGGATGGCCTCCAAGAGTATGCTTGTGCATACCTGGATGACCTCGCCATTTAGAGCAACACTTGGGAAGAGCACCTAGTACAGGGAGCTGTGCTAGACTGGATTAAGGAGGCAGGGTTGACTCTCAAGCCAAGCAGGTGCCACCTAGGGATGGCAGAGGTGCAGTACCTAGGACATTGGGTCGGGTGTTGGTCCCAAATGCCCGAACCAGCCAAGATAGAGGCTGCAGCTAACTGGCCCCATCCTCGCACCAAGGTCCAAGTGATGGCCTTCCTAAGAACTGCAGGTTATTACAGGAAGTAGGAAGCACCTCTAGTGACAATCTGAGTTACTGCACTAGAGGTGTTACAAGCCAGCAATGTAAACACTGCCGTTTTTCTGAACAGGCATTGTTTACATTGCTAATACTGCAGGTTATACTATAGACACCGGAACCACACAGCATGACATAGACACCAGACCTACATTAAGCTGTAGTTGTTTTGGTGACTATAGTGTCCTTTTAACCTTGATACAACCCCTCCCCCCTCCCCCCCACACACTTTCAATTTTCAATCAGACAACCTGTTATTTCCTTGTCTGATTAGCTCAGTGGAGATCAGTTCAAGATGCAGGTAACTGCTCAGAGCACCTGCCTTGTAAAGACTTCCCATTGACCTGCTTTGGGAAGTCTGTGATGGGACATTGACAGAAGGTCTGGTTTTGAAGAGAAGGGCTTGCAGGGAACAAGATATTTGCATATCTACTCTGCACTGTGAATGATAACTCATTCTATTGTTTTCAATAAAAATGTGAAAAGTACATCTCTTTGTGTGTTATTAGTTTAGTCAAAATCTCTTTGTCGATAATTTAGATGACGATCGAGACGTTTCTGAGTAATCATTGCGGAAATTCAAATAATTCCAAAAGGTTCACAAATTTTTATGGCAACTGTATAAAGAAAAACATCCTGTTGTAAAAACAGAGTATTCGACATGAGACATTAATAATAAGTTTATTTTCAATAAAACTGTTAGATTGTGGATCTCAAAAACACTGACATTTTAATGTTGGAAGTAAGGACAAAAAAATATACTTATTATGCCTATTTACTTTACATTTACAGGCTTTATGAATCATTAAAGGGACACTATAGTCACCAGAACAACTACAGCTTAACCCCTTAAAGGACCACTATAGTGCCAGGAAAACATACTCGTTTTCCTGGCACTATAGTGCCCTGAGGGTGCCCCCACCCTCAGGGACCCCCTCCCGCCCGGCTCTGGAAAGGGGAAAGGGGTAAAAACTTACCTTTTTCCAGCGCTGGGCGGGGAGCTCTCCTCTTCCGATCCTCCTCCGTTCCGCCCATTCGGCTGAATGCGCACGCGCGGCAAGAGCTGCGCGCGCATTCAGCCGGTCGCATAGGAAAGCATTTACAATGCTTTCCTATGGACGCTGCGTGCTCTCACTGTGAAAATCACAGTGAGAAGCACGCAAGCGCCTCTAGTGGCTGTCAATGAGACAGCCACTAGAGGATTAGGGGGAAGGCTTAACCCATTCATAAACATAGCAGTTTCTCTGAAACTGCTATGTTTATGAAAAAATGGGTTAACCCTAGCTGGACCAGGCACCCAGACCACTTCATTAAGCTGAAGTGGTCTGGGTGCCCTGAGTGGTCCTTTAAGTACTGAGCCAATTGTACAAGTTGTGATCAAAACAAAACGCAAAGAAAACCTTATCATATATCATTTTGTTCAGGAGAAACAGGGCTTTCATGTCACATCAAATATTTGTATAAACATAATTTAATATGAATAAAATATAAAAAAAAATTAGAAATTAAGAAATGTTATTTTTTTTAGTTCTGCATGGCATTTTAACTGTGAATGTCACAATACTGTTAGCTGTTACTGTAATAAAGTACACATATTTGTATTCAGCAATGTGTCACGGGTAAAACAGTACTCCTAATGTACAAGTTTTATGGTGTTTTGGAAAGTTACAGGGTCAAATATAGCACATTACCTTTTATAGTTTATACACATTGAAATTTGCAAGACTGGTTATGTTGCCTTTGAAATCAAATGGTAGCCCAGGAATGAAAATTAACCGCATTATGGCATAACATTTACAAAAGTAGACAACCCAAGGTATCACAAATGGGGTATGTCCAGTCTTTTCTAGTAGCCACTTAGTCACAAACACTGGTCGGCAACGGCCGGGCACATACTGGAGAGTCCCATGTCACCACGAGTGTCCCGCTGTAGAACTTAAGTCCAGGGGTACCCTTCCCGGCGGGTTGTGAGTGAAGTCCTTGTCGGCTTATTCCACCAGTCGGCCACCCTGCTGCGTCTTGTGTGCTGTCACTGGAGGTTTGGAGTGTTCCCCCATTCGGGCTCATGCCCTGCTGGTTAGCCGATGCTGGGGCCGTTGAGTGGTCGGCAGGTCGTGTCATGCCTCGCGGCCTGGGAGCGTGTATGATACCTTCTGGAGAGCACGGTGCTTTTTCCAGCCCTTCTGGTATGCGGCTCCGTCGGGGGGCTGCTCTGCTTCTGCATGAGAAAGTTCCCCGCAGGTGTCGCCGGGTGGTCGGATGGATCCATGCCTCCACTTCTCTCACGACTTGCCTGAAGAGCTGTTTCTGGGCATTTAGCTTCTTCCAGAGGTGAGTGCAGAGCCGTTCGTAGAACTCTTGGATGTGTTTTGGTGGTCTGTGTGCGTATTGGGTCTTAATCCATTGCTGGGCCGCCATCTTAGCTGGGCCCTGATGGACCTGAGTGCTTTGCTGTTTCCTCGCTTGGTTTGTCCGCGATGTGGGGGGTGTTCGTCCCCCGCGAGGGCCGGGATGTCAAGAAATCTTGAAGGTGAGCAACAGGTGGGAGTACGGACAGAAGATAGACATAAGTCTTCAGCAGATCGTAAGGGCCTAGACGGGACATACTTGTGTATAAGGGAGGATAGATAGGTGGGAGCAGCATTATGTAGAGATTTGAAAGCAAGAACCAGATTTTTTAATTGAGATCTATATCTTATAGGAAGCCAATGTAGGGACTGACAGAAGGGTGAGGCGTGGGAGGTGCGGGTGGACAGGAAGCCTCGCCTCCGCATTTATTATGGACTGTAATGGCGCTAGTTGGGAGCACGTAAGACCACTGACAGTGGAATGGACCAGCACCTTAGTCGCATCAGGCGTTAAGTAGGGGCGGATGCCCGCAATGTTTTTGAGATGGAAACGGCAGGATAGACTGAACATAAGGCTTGAAGGAGAGGTCAGAGTCAAAGAGATCACCTAGGAGGCAGCAATCCTGCCTGGTGGAGCTGATGGTAGCATCGTTGACTTGGAGGGAGACAGACACAGGAGTAACAACACTTGAAGGAGGGAATACCAGAATTTCAGTTTTGGTCAAGTTAATTTTAAGGAAGTGGGCAGCCATCCAGTTAGAAGTAGCAAAGAGGCAGTCAGAGACACTAGTCAAGAGGGACAGGGAGAGATCAGGAGAGGACAGGTAGATTTGCGTGTCATCTGCATAGAAATATATATTTGTAGGATTTAAATATATATATGTATATATATATATATATATGTATTTATAGAATTTTTTTTAATTATTTTTATTTATTTGTGTTAGGTGCGCATGATAGTACAGTGTAAAAATTTACATGACTAGCTAAAGACATAACAGAGTACACAATATTTAGGCTGGAACTAGTTATGCCCGCTAAACAAGATAAGTTGTGTGGCTGGTATGCAAACTAGATGAAATAATAAAATAGCAGTATTTCTTTTTTTGTTGTTAATCTGTTTATTTTATTATTATTTTATTAAGTGGAGCACATTTTGGGCATGCAGGCCCATCTCAACATAATGACGTAAAATAGTAATAACATAGAAACAGTGCATATACGTATTATGAACATATTTGTATACCATAGTAATCATATTCCAGTATCAGTTTACATCCTGTGACAATAAATAAAATAGCAGTATTAACCATTGTTAACCATGTTCCCAACCATTACTGTGTACTGTTTGATTTGTTAGGCAATGGTCAGTTTGTCCATCAAGGTGCTTAGCCCACTCCGCAGGGTGAAAAGTGGTATGGCTTCTGGAAGCCTGTCCATCGTGCCTCGAGGGGGTAGTCCAGTGGTTCTCTGCTGGATTGGAGACCCTTCCTGGTCTGCTGAGATGCCTTCTCCGGCCATGAGGTTGACTAACTCTCCCTGCTGCAGTCCACCTCCGGTGGGTCATGGAGTTGTTGCATCTAAAGACCACTTGTCTTCGGCCTAAAGCCTTAGAGGGAGCTTGTGCCAATTGGCCATTGATCCCATCATCAGGATCGTGGGCCCAGGGTTCCACCGATTTCTGATCTTCCCCCCGGAGGTATGGCTGGCTATGGAGGGGTTCCTACTGGTGAACGCCCAGCTCAGATGAAGGGCGAGTGGTCCAGACAGCAGCGCTATCCACCTGGGCGGTGGGTCATGCTCGGTAACTAGGGCTTTGCGTCCCGTGAGTCTCTGGACTTAAGGATTGCTTTATGGTATGGGTCATCGACTGATGCTGGTTTTCAGTGATCATATGTGGCTGCATCTGAGCTGCACGGGATGCGATCTGGCTCCAGAACGCTGCACAGATTCTGTTGAAGTTTGCATTGAATTTAGCTTCCCAGTCAGGCACTTGTGTTGTCTATGTCACGATCGCCATTTTGGCTGTGGTTTGGCAGTGAGGTTTGGCCGGGAAAGGCGGTAGGTCGCTTGTGTGGCGTGGTTGCTTCTCCCTCAGTGGGGACCGGGATAACCCCCACCGGTCTGGTGGGGGGGGGAAGGGTCGGCTGTTGTACTCTAACGGCTGCTGGTTGGAAGATCGGCCGTGTCTCCACACCATGTGCTCCACCTGGTTAGCAGGCCGCAATGGTTAACTCTGGCTGTGGACGATGGACGGAGCTCCTGAATCGCTTGTGAGGGCTCCTTACTGGTAATTGGTGAGGGTGTGAGCCCTATCTTGTGAGCCCTATGGCCGTCTTTTATCAGGTTTTGCTGTGGTTATGTGAGGAGCTCGCCTCAGACACATGTGTCGGCCATGCTAGTTAGACCCTGCCACCTATATATATAATTATAAATATATATATTACATATATATATATATATATATATATTGTCATTCTAAGTGTATTTTAATATTAATACATATTAATACATATTAATATTTAAATACACTTTTATTAAGTTTATTTATTAATGATGCATGTGTGTGTATGTGTATATAAAAGTACTTAGATTTTATATATATATGGCCGGGGGTAGAGCCAGATCGGGCAGACGGGGTCTGCCTGAGCTCCCAGGTAGACCCCAGGATCGCGACTACCGTCGGGGGTACGGTGGGGACCCGGTAAGCACAAAGGACGGCATGGGCGTTCTAGGCCGCCCGCCGGTGTTAAGGACTGCCCCAATAAGGACGGCATAAAATGCCCGCCGTCCTAAGGGGCTAATGTATTTGTTTTGGTGAGTATAATAATTACCTGCAGGCATTTCCCTCAGAGAAAAGGCAGTGTTTACATTGCCCCTAAGGAACACCTCCAGTGGCCACTCCTCAGATGGCCACAGGAGGTGCTTCCTGTGGAAATTCTGATTATGTCACCATGGAGACAGATCGGGGGGCAGGGCCAACCCCGGCGGACCAGCGCGGCACTGGAAATAAGGTACGTTCTACCCTCTTCCAAGGGGGCTAAGTGTGCGCAAGCCACCTAAATGGTGGATTAAACTCTATAGTGTTCCTTTAATATTATAATCTGGGCTATATTACATGATAACCATATGTAAACAGGACCTCCAGTTAGTGTGAATATATTATGTGCAAAACATATTGAACAGCATTAAATATTTTCTGTATTTTTGAAGTCTTTTTAGCTTAACTTTTGCATTGATAGACACATTTTATCCAGATGTGTGAACATCTTGTGTTCTTACTTGCAATGCATTCTTGGCCCCATAGAAGCAGCTGGCAAATTGGGAGGGAGGTGGAATTTCTAAAAACCTGTGAATCAGTTACTTGGACAAGCAGCTAATATTCATTGCTTGTGTTATGTTACCCAAATGCTGTAGGTGTGAACTCAGTAACATGTCACTGTGACTATTGTGACCTCGTATAATGAAAGAATATCTTTAACTGTTTTAACTAGTCACAACACAGATAAAAGCTAAACCTTAGCACTTTATATTATGTCCTTCAATTACCCACAAAATAATAAGTAGCAGCTGGGACCTATAGGTCGATGTGGCCTAGTGTCAAAATAAGCTATACATTAATTGTGGTATGCATATCAATATTTGTACAAGAGTTACCTTTATTCATTTCACTAGCCAGTGTTAAAACCAGGTAGTTACATTCATATGCTCAAACAAATTCTATGCTTTTTAACAACTCTCTCTTTAGTGCATAACTCACATGTTCTAATTGTTTTTGTGGTATACATATCAATATTTGTACAAGAGTTACCTTTATTCATTTCCCTAGCCAGTGTTAAAATCAGGTAGTTACATTCATATGCTCAAACACATTCTATGTTTTTTAACAACTCTCTTTAGTGCATAACTAATATGTTCTAATTATTTTTTTATGCAAACAAGAGCTCTTTGATCTCTATAAGAGTTTATCTGTTGTGCTGGTTAAAGGGACACTATAGTCACCAAAACAACTTTAGCTTAAAGGACCACTATAGTGCCAGGAAAACATACTCGTTTTCCTGGCACTATAGTGCCCTGAGGGTGCCCCCACCCTCAGGGACCCCCTCCCGCCCGGCTCTGGAAGGGAGAAAGGGGTAAAAACTTTTTCCAGCGCTGGGCGGGGAGTTCTCCTCCTCCGATCCTCCTCTTCTCCTCCTCCTGGGCTGAATGCGCACGCACGGCAAGAGCTGCGCGCGCATTCAGCCCGTCGCATAGGAAAGCATTCTCAATGCTTTCCTATGGACGCTTGCGTGCTCTCACTGTGAAAATCACAGTGAGAAGCACGCAAGCGCCTCTAGTGGCTGTCAATGAGACAGCCACTAGAGGATTAGGGAGAAGGCTTAACCCATTCATAAACATAGCAGTTTCTCTGAAACTGCTATGTTTATAAAAAAATGGGTTAACCCTAGCTGGACCTGGCACCCAGACCACTTCATTAAGCTGAAGTGGTCTGGGTGCCTAGAGTGGTCCTTTAATGAACTAGTTTTGGTGCATAGATCATGTACCTGCAGTCTCACTGATCCATTTTCTGCCATTTAGGAGTTAGATCACTTTGTTTATGCAGCGCTAGTCACACCTCCCTGCATGCGACCTACACAGCCTTCCTAAACACTTCCTGTAAAGAGTCATCTAATGTTTACACTTTCTTTATTGCAAATTCTGTTTAATTTATAATTATATTTATTTATTATATTATATTTTCTCCTGTTCTGTTAATAGCTTTCTAGACCCTGCAGGAGCTTCCTGTATGTAATTAAACTTTAACTTAAAGAGAAGGCACCCAGTTTTGTCAAATTTTTGACAGAACTGGAAGCCTTCTCTTTACTAAACCCTCAATTTTGTTTGAATGGACAAAATCTATTGAAAATGACTGAACCCTGAACAAATTGGCAATTCACATATTTACTAAAGCCAAATGTGGTTGGTAGTCGGTCGGTAAAACCAATTCAATATTATGAGTTTGGAAAATCAGTAATGTTTGCATGCGAAACCAATATAAAGTACAGAAATAGGACATTTATCAACTGCCACATGGCAACCGAATATAAATGCATTGGCCAACATGTGCATTTGCTAATTATTATTCATTTGCAATTTGATCAATCTCTGGATTTTACATTCCAAATAGCCCCATATGCAGCCGGATTGTTTTGTCCTATTCGGTATGGTGCCATTTAATGAATAACCCTGTAATGCTGAGTTCTCATGTCTACAGGCTGTAATGCTGAAAGGGCTAGTTTGCTGTATTTATGGTGCATATGGCCTTGTCGAACTATGCCTAAGTGTCTGTGCATGGTTAGAACCTTATGCATGGTTCCAGTAGCTGTAGGATTTACATCAGAAAAGCTGCAATAACATCTAGTAAATAGTTAACTGTGTTGCTGTTTCAATGCTTTCCTTTGGGGTGGTTTTGCTCCACCTAGTGGCTATAGATGAAAGACACAATAAGTAATGGTACCACTAATAAGCAATTGCACCACTCTAAAATGACCCACTCATTCCTACATTTATTATCATACTGTATGTGGGGCTGCTCTAAGAAGCTGAGGCTTTGTGCATTAAGTGATTTTCAGGTAAGTATATCTTTTTAATCTGTATATTCGCAAGTGAGTTTCTCCAGCATAGTGTATTATTATATTATATTATATCTATACCTGGGTGAATGTGGACTTACCACCCACTTATTTGTATGAGGAAGGCTCATTTTAAGGAATTTTCTTTACTCCGTGCAATTATGCAGATGTTAGGAGGGGTAACTAGCAGGGTACCTGTTGCCACTGCATAGGCAGGGGATCCAGCCTGTGGGTCTTCTCCCACCTGATGGGGATACTTCCCATACTCCCTCCTCTCATCTTGGCCGTTCGGACGCTGGACGCGGTCCCTTTTTATGACGGGGTGCGTGCGCACCGTCATTATGACGTCAATGATGTCATAGCCCACCGAAATGTTCAAATGCGGAAGTTTTGGGGGCACGGCAATCAATTAAAGATGCAAACTATAAAAAGGTATCACTTGCAATGAATCATTGCCCTGTTGTGGTTCAAGCTTTATTGTTCCCTACAGTGCATATTCTGGTTTGGTTTATTGGTTTTTGACTTGACTCTGGTTTGACTATTCTGTGTTCTCCCTCCCTTTGACTCGGCTTGTTTATTCGCTTACCTGTTTTCTGGCTCCCTTGACCTCGGCTAGTCCCTGACTATTCTCTGTCCTTACCTACATTAGTCTGGCCATTCTAAGGCCCGGTATACCTTCTCCTATTTTCACTCTGCGTATTGGATCCCTGTGTCATTCCTGACACTCATAAAGCAAAAATTAATGCATCCTTATAACTGAGACATAACCATTTGGGATGTTTATCAACCAGCCTTGTGTGACCACTTCAGTTCCCCTCTGTCACGCCGCTCGCCGGGTCCTGCCAGAGAGCGGTATGGGCCCCAGCGGGCGCGCATCATTGCGAGTAGAATGGATGCATATTCATCTGTGATGATATCTAGATGTCTTAATAGAAGAAGAGGAGAC